AACAGTGTTTCCGAACAGTGTTTCCGAACAGTGTTTCCGAACAGTGTTTCCGAACAGTGTTTCCGAACAGTGTTTCCGAACCGTGTGTCCGAACCGTGTGTCCGAACCGTGTGTCCGAACAGTATTTCCGAACATTATTTCCGAACAGTGTTTCCGAACAGTGTGTCCGAACAGTGTTTCCGAACAGTGTTTCCGAACAGTGTGTCCGAACAGTGTGTCCGAACAGTGTGTCCGAACAGTGTGTCCGAACAGTGTTTCCGAACAGTGTTTCCGAACAGTGTTTCCGAACAGTGTTTCCGAACAGTGTGTCCGAACAGTGTGTCCGAACCGTGTGTCCGAACAGTGTTTCCGAACAGTGTTTCCGAACAGTGTTTCCGAACAGTTGTGTGGCCAGTTTCCCCCTGGGTCCTCCAGTCATAATAGATTTACATTTGATGCGTCTGTCCCTGTCCACCTGGTCCATTTCCCCTCATTATCTTGCATGTTGTAATGGACAGAAGGACAGGCGGACATTTGGGCAGGTGGACAGGCGGACATTTGGGCAGGTGGACAGGCGGACATTTGGGCAGGTGGACAGGCGGACATTTGGGCAGGTGGACAGGCGGACATTTGGGCAGGTCGACAGGCGGACATTTGGACAGGCGGACATTTGGACAGGTGGACAGGCGGACATTTGGGCAGGTGGACAGGCGGACATTTGGGCAGGTGGACAGGCGGACATTTGGACAGGTGGACAGGCGGACATTTGGACAGGTGGACAGGCGGACATTTGGGCAGGAGGACAGGCGGACATTTGGACAGTTGGACAGGCGGACATTTGGACAGGCGGACATTTGGACAGGTGGACAGGCGGACATTTGGACAGTTGGACAGGCGGACATTTGGACAGGTGGACAGGCGGACATTTGGACAGGCGGACATTTGGACAGGTGGACAGGCGGACATTTGGGCAGGTGGACAGGCGGACATTTGGACAGGTGGACAGGCGGACATTTGGACAGGCGGACATTTGGACAGGTGGACAGGCGGACATTTGGGCAGGTGGACAGGCGGACATTTGGACAGGTGGACAGGCGGACATTTGGACAGGTGGACAGGCGGACATTTGGACAGGCGGACATTTGGGCAGGTGGACAGGCGGACATTTTTTGCAGGTGGACAGGCGGACATTTGGACAGGTGGACAGGCGGACATTTGGACAGGTGGACAGGCGGACATTTGGGCAGGTGGACAGGCGGACATTTGGACAGGTGGACAGGCGGACAGGTGGACAGGCGGACATTTGGACAGGCGGACATTTGGGCAGGTGGACAGGCGGACATTTGGGCAGGTGGACAGGCGGACATTTGGACAGGTGGACAGGCGGACATTTGGACAGGCGGACATTTGGACAGGTGGACAGGCGGACATTTGGGCAGGTGGACAGGCGGACATTTGGACAGGTGGACAGGCGGACATTTGGACAGGTGGACAGGCGGACATTTGGACAGGTGGACAGGCGGACATTTGGGCAGGTGGACAGGCGGACATTTGGACAGGTGGACAGGCGGACATTTGGACAGGTGGACAGGCGGACATTTGGACAGGCGGACATTTGGGCAGGTGGACAGGCGGACATTTGGGCAGGTGGACAGGCGGACATTTGGACAGGTGGACAGGCGGACATTTGGACAGGTAGACAGACGGTCATTTGGGCAGGTGGACATTTGGACAGGTGGACAGGCGGACATTTGGACAGGTGGACAGGCGGACATTTGGGCAGGTGGACAGGCGGACATTTGGACAGGTGGACAGGCGGACATTTGGACAGGTGGACAGGCGGACATTTGGACAGGCGGACATTTGGGGAGGTGGACAGGCGGACATTTGGGCAGGTGGACAGGCGGACATTTGGACAGGTGGACAGGCGGACATTTGGACAGGTGGACAGGCGGACATTTGGACAGGCGGACATTTGGACAGGTGGACAGGCGGACATTTGGGCAGGTGGACAGGCGGACATTTGGACAGGTGGACAGGCGGACATTTGGACAGGTGGACAGGCGGACATTTGGACAGGTGGACAGGCGGACATTTGGGCAGGTGGACAGGCGGACATTTGGACAGGTGGACAGGCGGACATTTGGACAGGTGGACAGGCGGACATTTGGACAGGCGGACATTTGGGCAGGTGGACAGGCGGACATTTGGGCAGGTGGACAGGCGGACATTTGGACAGGTGGACAGGCGGACATTTGGACAGGTGGACAGGCGGACATTTGGGCAGGTGGACAGGCGGACATTTGGACAGGTGGACAGGCGGACATTTGGACAGGTGGACAGGCGGACATTTGGACAGGCGGACATTTGGGCAGGTGGACAGGCGGACATTTGGGCAGGTGGACAGGCGGACATTTGGACAGGTGGACAGGCGGACATTTGGACAGGCGGACATTTGGACAGGTGGACAGGCGGACATTTGGGCAGGTGGACAGGCGGACATTTGGACAGGTGGACAGGC